CAAAAACGGTAAATTGCAAATATCTCAAAAACGGTACCATAAAATTAAAAATAACCTTGATTTTCGGAATCAGGGGGTGATTTTACATACGAATTTCATAACGGCGTCTCTGGTAAATTTTGGCCGTCGACCAGTGTTGTTTTTCATGGAACTCCTTAAGGCTAAGTTGATCTAAACTTAATTTACGTAACGTGGCCAACGCAATATATTTTTGTTCAGGAATTGTTTGATGTGGCTTATAGGCGGCATAGGGACAATCAGCTGAACAGGAAAATACAAAAACAAAATACTTTCCCTTCTGGTGTTGAGTAATCATTGACGATTTTTTACGTAAGTTAAGTCTAGACTAACTGAGCTTTTATTTATACATAAATTTTCTATGCCAAAGAATATTAGTTCTAAGTCTTTTCTTCGATTTTGGCAACGATTTAAAAAATATAAATCGACTTGGACTGTGATGACTAGTCGGCACAGGTTTTAAACTTTTTTTATGTATACGAATCTTTTTAAATTAGCATACGAAATGTGAGCTGTTTTTGGAGCCAATTAACAGAATAGCTAAACTAGGTATTTTCTGAAAAGTTATCAAATAGGACCGCTTGCATTGATAAAAACGATATTTACAGTTTGTATTACACAAAAAAAACTACCCACCCCTAAGTAAAAAATAAATATACTTAGTTTTTGTTAAAAATACTAGTCACCGACCGAATGCGATTTTTTGGTCGAAACCGACCCAGATATTTTTTTTTTAATGTTTTCTAACATAAATACTAGTTACCGACCGAATGCGATTTTTTGGTTGAAACCGACCGACCGATCTTATATTCATGTCATTGTTTAGTGTTTCAAATTAAATATTAAAAACAAACTGGCCTAATAATATTATATCGCCGCTAAAAGTACAAAACCGCGTATCGTGGTTCTGCAAAACCGCCTAACTGACATTTGCTGCCAAAAATTGGATTTGCCCAAGCCTTGCTCTGAGCTCAAGCCTTATCCATTCGTTTTGAGATATACTAGCCAGAAATGCGATTCCTTTACAAAAAAGAGAACCTTTTTGAAATATGACTGACGTTGTTCACACTTGCCAGGTTATCAGATTATCTGATTATTTATTATTTATTTAAATAAATAAATAGATTATCTGGTTATGTGGTTTTATTTTTTATTCAGTTTACAACACTACCCTACAGAATAATAATTTTTAAAAAAAAAAAATTACGTAAAATAGATTAAATAAGATTTAAAACAAATAAACAACGCTGAGTAAGATAAAAATAAATTTTTAAATAGTGCATTTCCATATGACGGATATCCAGACTGGAAATTCGTCTAAAAATCTAATCTAAAAAAAAACTTAACAAAAAGTTGTAAAAATTTACTTGTTTCTCTTTGTTTAAAGGGTAGTCAGACGTGGCGATTTAAGTGATTCCGAAAAGTGCAACAAACTAAATAAATTCGAAGAGTAATTTCAGTTACACGCTTCTGCAATTTTCGGAAGTAGTTATTTTTTTTTAATATCCGATATTTGATATTTTCTCATTTTTATTTATTTTTCGCACAAATGCGACAACATACAAGAATTAAAAGTGCAGCATGAACAAGTTGTAATTTTTTTTGAAATTGATTCCAGCATTTTTAATTGCAGGCCCAACTTTCCTAGTTTAGTTTCCGAAATTGATTTAAAAAAAAATGGTAAAAAAGTACTTTTCGGTTGTTTACACGGGAGAGGGGACTTCACTTTCGCCATTTTACATGCGCAGTAAAAGCACTTGCATTGCTACGTGCTACATAACGGCAAGGTTCAACTCCATCTTTAAACGATACGAGTGTCCTCGTATTCTCCAGACAAAATTATACAGCAGCAAAAATTTAAAGAATTTAGCAGCATTCGCTCTCAAAGAGACAAAAATATCCATAGAACTGTGAAAACACAAAATTTTCAAAAACTAGCAAGTTTCGAAACAGCTGTTCACTTCCACAGTTGCCACAGGTAGTCCATTTGGTAATTTATATTCTGTTTTGGTACATTGGCATTTCTATAATTGAATGATTTTGGATAGGGAAAACCTTTGTAACATATAATTGAATTTCATTTACCAACAAATTTATGTTCCTTTAAAATTACCCAATTTGCATTTCAGCGTGCCCCATTTTTTGTCTATATTGGTATATTTTAGGATAAAATTGGGTACAAACGAATAACTGCAAATTAACTAAAAATAAACTCCACCAACCTTAACTTAATAACTTTACTCCCTTTTTCTCTGTTTACAAGCATAAAATTTTTAATAAATGATTCACAAAGACCATATTTTCTTTTGTTTATTCACGAACATATGTTTGTGGTCAGCTGTTTTTCTTACTTGCAAGTTTTCGCAAGTAAAAATTTTTCCATTAGAAATTGTGCTTTTGGCTCTCTCAATTTCCCCTAAATTGCAAGTTTTTTTTTTTNCGTAGCTATTATTTGAAATACTAGCCGCATGTGCTGCAGCCTTCTCAAACACATAACTTTGTTGCTTTTCTATATCAGAATTGAACTGCTCATGTTCTACCATGCAATAGTTTGTATGTAGTATGTAGTTATGTGTATTTGCTTTATAGATACATACAGATATAGTTTGTGATATATATTTTCTATATATATGTACATATAGATACATATTTAATTTTGCAGAGAACAAAAATACAAATTTTTTTGTAAAAATTTAACTGAATAATAATTCCTGATAAAAAAAAAATTATTCTATATCTATATTTTTTATGTAATGAAACAAATAAAATAGTTTGTCAATTTCCCGTAAAATATACAATTTTCTGTTGTTTCAGTGCGTGAAAATATCAATTAGAACTTACAACTAAAGAAAGCAAACATTGCAGTATGCAATAAGATAGCAGCTGCAAAAATTGTTTAAGCCACTTTTTTCTTACGCAAATATTAAGAACATGCTTACGTTGTTAGATTCAAGTTATCGCATTTCAGCAATATTTTACAAAATAATAGATATGAATGATTGCTACTTGCAATTAAAAAATTTGTTAATTTAATGTGGGGTTCACATGTTTTTCTCTTTTTATTTGCATAGTCATTCAAAAAATTGTATTCTAGTCAAATATTTAAAATATATAAATCAGAAATCATTCGTCAATAGTATAGCCTTAGCCTTAAATATAAGCTAAAATAACTGGTACGATTTTATTCTTATTTTTTGTTTTTTTTTTTGAATATTTGCAGAGCAAGTTTCTGCTTTTGTCCATATTTTGTTGTTGCTGTTTTTCTAAGGTCGGGTATTAAGGAATTTTCGGGAAGCTAATGGCGGGAAATTGCGGTACATTTTTCGCTTTTATTGTAAAGTAGGTTTCAACAAAAATTAATTGATTACTCTCCTGCCTTAACACTAAACATTTAAATCGAATAGATTTCTTTCTTCAATTACTAATTGCTGATGGGTGTTTATTATACGTACGTGTGGCGTACTAAATTGTACACAGAACTTCCCAGTTTGGAAGTTCTTTGAATCACCGCATGACATTTTTTTTACTTATTTTATTTTTTTAGTGATTAGATTAAGTGATTTGACTTACGTTCTATGCGATTAATATTGAAGTTAATTTATATGCTCATCATATTTGGCATAAAACTCCTACATTTTCATTTACTTTCTTATTTTATTAACACCGCACACGTGCTGCTGTTGTTGTGATTTCTTTCTCCACTTATAACGGGAAAGTTGTAATTTTTTACGCACAGCGTTGAATTCTGTTCCATCAAACGGCGCATTCCATTCCATTGACTGCGCTTTTAATAATAACCAGCTGCGTTTGAATAGCTTTGTTGATACTGTGAATCTGTATACGGGTGGGAGCAGGTACAAATAACAATTGGGTTAGCAGGCATAGTCGGAAATAACGTAAATCTAAATCTAAATAGTTACAACAGCTAGATATTTATTGGTCTTTAACTAAGCACAATGTGGTAATTTCGATTATTTTGTCTTAGAAATAATAATTTGCAGTTAAAATGAGATTTATTTGCAATTAAAATTTTATGCAATTGCGACGAGAAAGATTTTTAGTAGAGTAAAAAGTGTGATGTCAAAAGCACACAATACTTTTTTTGTAAAGCTGTGCAATTAATAAACCGCGCCGCCGGGGCTTTAAAGTTTTCTATATATTTTACATGCAGAAAATACCTGTTACTTTGTGCTCGTAACCACATGACTCACATTAAAAAAAAAAGGTTAGTCAAATTTTAAAGTAAAAATATGCATTAATTTATTTTAACTTTGATTTTTTTTTTACGATTTCTGGAGAGAAATATTCTTATTCCAAAAGGTGTTTGTTTTTAACGATTTTACAGCACTGCTAAAATATCGTTCCCACGACAGTCGGGTCTACGTAACCGGAACGACCCAGATTTATATCTGCCCAAGGACTGTCACTCCAGCAACACTCCCCAAAAAGTCTTTGGGGAATTTGTATGCTGCTACAACAACAACAACAACGGCTAAAATATATGGGAAAACTTCAAAAACTAGGCGGCTTCTATTCTGGAGTGACATCGGGAAAATTCTGAAAAGTTGATTTTCCTTTGTATTTTGCACAACTCTTATGTACATAGAGATTACAAGTAGAAATACATTATTTTCCCAATATATAGTTTCAAGGAGATTTCGTACGAAAAGTGCTATGATAAATTTGTGTTTGTTTGACTTCGTTTTCTGTGTTCAAAAAAATAGTACCGCTGCTGGATTTTTCCTAACAAACTAGAAACTCAAGTGTTTCCAATGAAGGATGCCAATAAAAATGTTATAAAAGTGGATTCTAGATATTTCGAAAATAACTGAGGTTTTATATATTAAAAATATTGGTTTCTTTATAAACTAGGGCTTAAACAAAACAATAGTACTACATTTAATTAATTTAATTTAATTAATTTAAATTTAAGGCCCACGCAATTATTCTGTTGGGTCGTATCTATTAAGAAAACCTTTTGAATGTTTTGTTCAAAGCTCAGCAACTTGCATCAGGAAATATGATATTATGAAGAATTTCACATTCGAACCACTTCAAATATCCCGAGGAGCCAAACCCACAAAATTGCACTTACAGCCGATCGCTTAAGAATGTAGTTTAACACAGACTACCAAAAGTTTACTATTGTTTCAGTTATTGATACAAGTACAATCAAAACAATTTTTTCAGAGGTTTTTTTGTGCATTTTGTCTTAATTTGTTTCTATAATTTTTACTTCTCGTTTATCAATACATACACACATATTTTTAAGTAATATTGCATTCGAAAATAGTCAAATAACTTAAAAACACCTAATTATGAAGACATTTTTATTTCCTTAAAATTTTAGAGTTTCTCAAGTTAAGCCCCACATTTTTTTTTTTGTGGTGCATATAGGGAAATACCATGATGGGAAATACCTCATAAAATGGCAAAATGAAATAAGTGTCGATTTCTATTTCACTTTCACTTTCCTGTTTGTTATATTAAAATATTAATTTCAATAGTAATCGAATATTTCTTCACAACTCTACAACAAGTTGTGAAGCAGAACATGTCAAAAAATAGTTTTTATCATTCTGCGCCGTCGCACTAACTATTTTTTTTTTTAACACAACTGCACATACAAATGCATTTTGTAGTTTTTCTTCTATAAAGACCAAAACGCAAGCCAGGCAGCTAAAAATGTAAAGTGTTTATGGACCTGATACTGTAACAGCCAATCACGCACAAATTTTGTTTCGTCGATTCTGTTCCGGTTTCAAATTTTGTATTATCGATAAAACTATTGAAATCGTCGAAAGCGACCGACAGCTGTCGATTGCACAGTAGCTTACCACTCGATGTATGGGTGGGTGCGAACCGAACCAGCGCAAAAAAAAAACCTCATGGAGCGAATTTCCACCGACACATTTCAGTTTAGGTACCAGAGATTCTATGAAAACAGCATATTGGAACTATCTTCAAAATGGCAAGAAGTTATCGAAGAAAACTGCACATATTTGTCGTAAATCGGATTATGCTAAATTAGAAACTTCATCCTAATGTAAAAATAAAGGATTTAATTTTACCATAACTGATATAAAACAGAGGAACAAACGCGCGTTCCCACGACAGTCGGGTCTACGTAACCGGAACGACCCTGATTTATGTTTCGCCAAGGACTGACACACTCCAGCAACACTCCTCAAAAACTCTTTGGGGAACTTGTATGCTGCTACAACAACAGAGAACAAACGCAACCACCTCTTGCTCACATAATTTAAAATTTTTACATAGTTCATTAAATCTGCTTTAATGCTGACTTGGTAACACATGGTTTGTTTTCTGAATCCTTGGTCATCCTCCATTTCTTCAATAATTGCGTGACTTAGAGCAATGTTTTAGCTTTCATATAATGGTGTTCTCACCACTGTTTGCTTTCGGCTACGCCAAGCCACATATAAAAAACATTGGCTTCTTCACTTTGCAACTCTTTCTACATGAAAATGCAAAATTCCATGAGACGAATCTTTTTTGCTATCGTCCATAATTTAAATTATTATTTTCAATATTTTCTTTGTACTAGATACCCCTTGCAATTGAAACCCAGCAAAAATGTTGGAATATAAAAAAAAAGGTTCTACCACCCTCGTATAGGCACTGATTCATAAATATTTATTCTTAGCATTAACAACACTTACCATAACCAGCATAAGCGCGTTCATCATAGGCCTGCTGTCCGTGCTGCGAATAGTCCGCCTGCGGTGCAGTGTTATAATCAACAGCAGGCGCGCCATACTGTTGTGTATAATCTTGACCGTATGTTTGATATCGCGTATCTTGTTGAGTACCATAACTACTCGAGCTGCCAAAAATAAACATATTTCGGTAACTTATTAACTTATACCCGAAAATCTAAAATCATACACACCCATAAGTCTGGTATTGGCTTTGATCGTATTCGGTGGCCTGTGTTGAATATGCGCTGCTCGCTTGTGGTGCTGAAGACGCATACCCGCTTTGTCCATACCCATTGTATGTTTGTGCAGCTGGTGCTGCATAAGATTGGGCATACGGGTCGACAGCTTGAGATTGATCATGCGTTGCGTAGCTGTGATGGCTGAAATTATACGTGAACATGACATATATTGCTGAAAATTTAATAAAAAAGTATACAATAAACTGTACCTTTGTTGATGTTGATGATGGCTGGGTGGAGCACCATAACTTGATGGTGGAGCCATTGGTGCTGCATGCTGCATAGGTTGGTGATATTTAGGGGCCATGGGTCTTTGTGAGTAGGGACCTCCTTCATAACGCCCACGCTTGGGACCTGGGGGACCACCGGGTGCGCCCCGCTTTAGTGACGGTACCGGAGCAATTTGGGTATTAGCACTGTGTGGCTGTGAATGCATGGGCGATCGAGCCATCGATTGACCGTATCCTCCACGTCCGCGTGGTGGGCCACCACGGCGCATTGGCATTTGACCGTGTTCTGCACCAGGGTGCATTCCATGCATTCCACCATTCAAGTGTGGATTATATCCGCCACGTCCCCGAGAGAATGAACCGCGACCCCGAGGTGGTCCCCTTGGTGGTAGACTACTCATACCACCATTAGAGCTTATGGGTACTTGGGCCGCAACTGCGGCTTCCGGTGCTACAGCAACACTATTAGTTGCTGCGATTTCTGGCGCTGTGCCGTCTGCGATTGGTACTGGTGTGACCGAGCTTGCTGTTGGTACAGGTGAAACTGTTTTATTGTTTTCAGCACCCGTATGTTGCTTTGCTATTGTGTGTATTGTGGAATTTTGTTTTCAAAAAATATATATCTAATTAATACTGCTGTACTTACGCTGGGCGTACATTGGTGGACGACCACCGCGCATTGGCGGGCCACCACCGCGTGGTATATAACTTCCTCGACCTTGATAACCGGACCCTCTAGGCGCACGCATTCCACGGCCGCCTGGTCCCATACCTTGTGGTGGCGGTCCGCCCATCATGCCGCCACCGCGACCCATATAATGGCCACGACCCATGCCTCTACCGCGACCCCGTTCAAAACTTCCACGCATTGGTCCACCTCTGCCACGATAACCACCACCACGTGGTACTGGTGTACCCATCGGTGCAACCATTGTTACGGGTGCTGCTTCCATTTTAAATTAACTTTAGTTGCACTTACAAATAATACAGAAAATTTCGAGCACACAAAAAAATATCTTTTCTCTACACTTTTATGGGCTGCAATACAGCAGTCAACCCGGCAACCGGATGAAGTGAAAATTTTCTTACGCAATTATTTCGTATTTCCCACTTATATTTTACACACTTTTGACTTATATTCTAAAATATACACTTAAATTAAGATTTCTTGTATTTTCATATTATATTCAGGACTTAATTCCACGCTTTTTTAAATTTTCCAAGAGCAGAAAAAATTAACACACATGAAGAAATTTGTGAAAAAATATGGCGTCGCATTCGATATCGATTTTTAATAAACAGGGTTGCATGTGGTCCCCGATTGACCGCCTCGTTTGGACATGGTTGCCAAGTCTGAGAAATTAATGTTCACAAAATTTGAAGTTACATAATGTGGCGTTGTCAGTGACTGCTTTTTTTGACATTCCCTTTTGTTTGTGTACAGTTTTGTTGTTGTCTTTTAGGCTTGAGTGACATGAACAGAAGTTGGCTGCATTTTATTTATGTCGAATTCAGCATGCGAAGTTTGCTTGGACGAAGGTAGTGGCAGTGAATTTAGAATTTGGGCTAAACTGAGCAGTACTGCCAGCCGCCACTGCTGTGTTGTGAGGCGCTTCATTGAGGCGCTTTGGTGAAAATCACGATCCAGAAAATAAAGGTCGCGCCATTCGCGGACCGCTAACCCTCTCTTCGTCAATTTGACAGCATCCACCCAATCGCTGACGTCATAATATACTTTTGTTTACATTTACTGTTGCCAACTTCATGCTTTTCGCACCAAATTTAGTAGGTATTCAAAATGCGAAAATTTTTGAGTTTTGTGCTTGGTGCGTTTTTTGGTGCCTTTGTTTTTAGTTTGAAGACTTCAAATTAGAAAATCTTAAAAAAATGGAAGCAAAATGTATAGCAATCGTAAGTGTGCTAAGCAATTTTACAAAAATTTAAACAAAACCATGGCAAAGTGACAATCATAAGCGACAACGAAATATGTGCACCACCTTCAATCATGCCAGAAGAAATCAACCGTTGTGCAAGAAACATTGATTTTTATTAATTTGAATCGGCATCCTTACAATAAAATTATGTATTCATATGAAGTCCACATGAACGAAAGACACAAGATCACGTAAAAACAAGAGAGTGAAAAAAGTCGATTTTTTTAGCGGGTTCTACGCCATCTTGTTTCACTGGAAAACGAGCGAAAATTAAACAAAGCAAAGAAAACAACGAAAACCAAAATTAGCCAAAATTATTGTCAGCCACTTTAAACGCACAATTTAGGTAAAATGATGCGACAAAATGCTTTAAAATGTGTTGTCATGTTGAATTAACTTTTCTTTACTTGAATAAAAGTGTAAAATAGTGGTGCTTGTGATGTAAACAAACGCTCAGCTGACGAACCCGCTTTCCCAAACTTTTTTCTCAAAACCAGTTACAAATACAACGTCGCGTTCTTACGTGATCTTGTATTTTTGGTTCATGTGAAGTCCATAAAATTCACCAAAAAAAATTTGGTGCTTTTTCAAATTCAAAACTTGGCAATACTGCCTTTTGTTCGATGCTTCTTCTTTTTCTTGTCGAGTTCGTCTTGCTCTCTCATTCTGGTATATTTTGACGTCACGGCCAGTTGCTCTCAGCTCGATTGGCGCAATCTTGTATTCTATCATTAGTTGTGTTCTTTTACAAATTATCCAGTAACTTGCCAGTAACTCTCCAGTAACTGAATTTCTGAGAATTCGCTCTCATAGCACAAAAGTACAAGAACGCAAAACCAGTAATAATTTGCAAGTTTTACGAACAGCTGATTAATTTGTTGTTTATTCGCAGCTAGTTGCTAATAAGACAATGTATATTATGTTTAAATAGGTTTATTTTGTCAATTTCAACTATAAAAACCTCATAAACATTTATTTTATTAGTTTCAGTTCCACCCAACAACATGCGATCAGCTGTTTTTCTCGCTTGCAAGTTCTTACTAGCAAAAATTTATCCAGTAAAATCCAGTAAAAACTAGCAACTTCTCCTCAAAAAGAAATGTCACTTTTCGCTCTCAATTTCCCTTTTCTTACCAGTTTTTTGGGTACAAGAACGGCAAAACGTGATAGTTGGTAAAAACTGGTACGAACTAGCGCGTACAAGAACGCTACTATTCTTGCTAAAAAAACAGCTGATTTCGAAAAACTGCCAGTGCCACTGCCACTGCGTTAAGAGCGAAATACACCACACAAGCGGTTTGACAAACCAAGCGAAATTTCCCTTTGCTTCAAGCCATTTGTGCTGTGTATGGGGGTGTTTGAAGGTTTGACGGCGGTTTGTCAAAACAAAGTAAATAAATAAAAATGTAAAAAAAAAATATTTGGTTTTTCCTTTTTGGTTGTTGTTGTTTCCGACAGGGTGGGTGTATGATGTATTATGGAACGAATTTCCGTCATCCCTTGTCAATTCCATAATACATCATATTTGGTTTNACAACAAACTTTTTGCGCTTGACGTTACTTAAAACCTTTGACATTTCTCAGTAAATGAGGAGAATGGTGTAGGAATCACTTCTGCGACCAATGAGATATCAACTTAAAAATGCTAGTTCGATAAATTCGATTCCGTCGCTGCGAATTTTTCGGACATTCAATGTTCCTCTCTTTTAACGCGTTCGAAACGCAGCTTGCAGCGTACTCGGTACGTATTCGCTGCGATAGAATCGCGCAAATGTGCGCTTCGCTTTATACTTGTAATCCAGTTGCGCCTAATTGCCGAATTTCCTACACGGTCCCTGTACTGTTCTCAAAGTTTGACAGCCTCTTGGATATTTTGGGAACAGTGCAAAAGATTTTCCTTCACAATAAACTGGTCGTGTTAAAAGGAGGTGCAATTTTCTCTTAATTTGCTCTAATTAATAATAATTACATTTAAAAATTGCATTTTATTTAATTTAGGAAAGTCTCCGTTCTCGTGGTAGGTCGTGAATGTAGTGGTTAAAGGCAGAGGGATTCATTGCTGGAAACAAAGGGAGTAAAACTGCGTGCAAAGCGTGTTAAATCAAAGACCAATTTGCCAAAAAGCAGAGGCGTTTGTGTTTGCATGTGTATGCACAAGAAAACTATAACGAGTCAGGAGGCGGAGGATCATCAAAAGTGATAGCCAGCAGCTGTGAAAAATGCCAGGCAAAGTTGGTGTGAAAATCAAAGCGGGTCGCAATTTGCCCGTAATGGACCGGAGTAGTGATACTACTGATGCATATGTTGAAATAAAGCTGGGCAGTGTCACTCACAAAACCGACGTTTGTCGTAAAAGTTTAAATCCACAGTGGAATACTGACTGGTAAGTGGGTGCAGCTCGGTAGGGCTAGGCTTGATGGCTACATATGAATATCTTTTTTGGGGTACATTTAATTGGAAAAACTTGATTTTAAATCATGTTATTGAAATGCTATCAGAGAATGTGTAGCGATAATAAGCTGAAGATAACATGGGCATAGACGTTTACGTAAATGTTTGGTATCAAGCTAGAAATAAATTCTTGCATTCCTTAACTAAACGGTGGTATTCTTGCATTGTAACTTGTATGAGAGTGTACACAAAAGTATAACTTATATACATAGTATTTCTATACATACATATGTATATTTTAATGCATACTCAATTGTTTACTTGCGCTTTTGTTTGTCCAGGTTTCGGTTTGAGGTGGACGATGCCGAGCTGCAAGATGAACCATTGCAAATACGTTTGATGGATTATGACACATATTCTGCAAACGATGCTATTGGCAAAGTGAATATAAGCTTGAATCCATTATGCTTGGAAATGTCTGGATCGACTTCGCATGGAAAGGGGACAGTGCTATCTGGTTGGATACCAGTTTTCGATACAATGCATGGTATACGTGGTGAAGTCAATGTGATTGTCAAAGTAGATCTATTTTCTGATTTAAACAAATTCAGGCAGAGTTCCTGTGGCATACCATTCTTCCACTGTAAGATGTTACAATTCTTTTTTTTTTTTAGATATATATATTAATGAAAATTGCATTCGATTTATAGCACAATGTATACCATTTGGCTATCGCGCGCAGATGATACACGGTTTCGTTGAGGAGCTTGTGGTCAACGATGATCCCGAATATCAATGGATAGATAAGATTCGTACACCACGCGCTTCTAATGAAGCCAGACAGGTTGTGTTTCTGAAATTGTCGGGACAAGTAAGTGTTTTCTGTATAATTACATATTTTGCTTGTCTTGTAAGCTCATTGCATTTTGTTCTTCCTTATCTTTCACCATCTCAAAAAGGTACAACGAAAAATGGGTCTCAAGGCCATTAATATGGGCGCGAATGCCGTTATTGGTTATACGCAATGCTTTGACTTGGAAGGAGATGTCGGTGTGGTGGCGCGTGGCATTGGTACCGCGGTGACATTGATCAAAGATACATCCAGCAGCCAGTCAACGGCGACAACAGCAGTGGCAGATAATGCGCTAATTGAAGAGTGAGTACTGCTTTGTATGAATATCTAATTTGCATACATATTTAGTCGACTTTTTTAATTTTCCTTATATGCCTATATGTACTGTATTTGTGTGTGTGCGCGAGTTTGTGCGCTAGAGCCGTTGTGCCTGCGAAAGCATAAAGCATTTATTGGTGGCATACGTAAATACACGCGCACTTACACACACGCGCACTATCAGCAATGTTTGCAGTTATTTTTACGACAATGATGCATAGACATCCGTATGTAGTCGTTCAGATGAATAAGGCCAAGGACAAGAGCGTGCTTACATGCATATGCTTAGAGCTTCGTGTGTAGGCATATGTGTGGTATCATCTCTCCATTTTGCTATGGTATAAAGTTGAGTTTTAACGAAAAACATGTATCATTATTAGAATACATACTATTTTCTAGTATAACTACATAACGAAAACATCAATGCTTTAACATTTGCAGAGGTTACTTTAAAGTACGACATGGCGAATGAGTGATGTGCTACACAACAATAATTTTTTTTCGATTTGCCATCGCCAATATGTATGGCATTACCCAAACGTACGTACGTACCATGATAAAAACATAACAAGGTAAAACCATTGAGAGGCAGTCTGACGTTTGCCATCAATATAATTTTAAAACAACAATTGTGAACAATTTTGTTCGCGGCAAACATTTGGAGTCTTTAAGGAGTCCAATTTCGGAGCCATTACGTGCATAATGAGCTTATTTAAGAGTCCGATATGAGGGTGTTTTCCTTCCTCCGAAGGTCGACTTATATGAGCTTAAATTCATCATATGAGCCACAATATGAGTCATATTGGGCTCTTACTGGCCTCATATACGGCTCATTTTGGACTATTTTTAAAACAATTTTTGGCCTCACCATATATGAACCATTTCAGACTATTTTTGAGGCTCTTATCGGCCTCATAAATTACTACATTCGGACTCTTATTTTAGGTTGTTCTTTGAGTCTTATTGCACGCATTATATTTGCAAAGGCATTCAGCAAAAAATCCTTTCAAATAACATACATATGTACATACTTACGAGTATATATACACTCCAACATGCATTCAATAGCAGCAGCTGCAACTAAATTTTCTTCATTTTTTATATGATTTTAAAATGTTGGCAAACGTCAGGAAAAGAATCATGATCAAGGTACATTGAACAGGTAGTATCAGTAGAGC